CCCCAAAACCCCAAAACCCCAAAACCCCTAAAGTCTAAATTTAAGGCATAGAATATGGTAATGAAATTAATGTGATTAAAAAAGCAACTGAATAAACTAGAAATTATAATCATAGATTAAACAATAGTTATGTCCTGCCAATTAAAATGTACAAATCAATTTATTGTTATTTATTTGAATTATAATTATGCATGATCATCTTTGTCTAATCTTTATTTTTATATTTGATATTTTGCCAAATCAATTCATTATGTTATCACTGCAATTACTTATCAAATGCAGATGTGATTCAGAAATGTATTTCGGAAAGCTCCTCTATAAATTCTTTAAATTAGGATTTCTTTTTTAGTATGTTAAATTTTATTTAATAATGTGCTGGATCAACTATGTCATCTAAGTTTAAGTTTCATTAGTTAATGTGGAAACTAATGCTTTTTGATTTATGCATTCATTGATTTATTAAGTTGTTAAATAGATCTCCAAATCTTCTGAAAAGTTTGATTTTGACTTTTACTGTTCGAATATTTTCTATCTATTTTTTTATATAGAAATTCTAATCGCTAACAGGAGTATTGCAGTGCTTAAATCTGAAATATCATTGATAAGAATCTCTGGCTCCTAGATAATTAGGTAGCAAAAGAATTGCATATACTTCAGAATTTCCTCCTCAATCAACTTTGAGATTTGTGTATGCTTTGATTAATCTGTTGCAGCTGTAATTATTTTAAACTTTTGAACAGCTTCCTCATAAAAGTTTGTGTAATGGAGCTTGAAGTCTAAAGTTTATAATACATCAAGCTCTCTCTCAATTATATCTTGTTTATCAAATTTACCGTGAGCAGCCTCGAACAAAATCTATTCCATAGAAATCGGATGAACATCTTCATACTTTGAGCTAAGAAATATAGCAATAAGCCCAACAATATGCAAATCATATTTTGGCACTTTGATTCTCTTCTAGTACTTCATTATAAAATATCTATCCATTATTTAGGAGGCTAGAATATATGTCTTGAGTAAATTTTTATTTAGAACTCTAAATACTTAGATCATCCAATCTAGCATCTTAGCACGATTTTACATATTGAGATCATGGAAAGCATAAGCTTATTCGATTTATATTTAATCCATACATATCGTAGAACAAACACTTAAAGATGACTGATTTTCAAAGCTCGCTGATTGTATACTACCAAGGAACTTAGAATCAAGCTATGTACTTTAGTTTTTTTAATTATGAGATGAAATCTGGTTGCTTGAGTATTTTTTCTCACACATAATCGCAGAGAGTGTTACAGTTTCAAGTTGCAGCTTTGTATAGTGCTTAAGATCATCAGTCTAATATTTTCTAGATGTTTTCAACTATCTGAAAAGCAAATCAGGATTTACTCTAGTATTATTATGCTTTTATAAACTCTACTTTTTTTCCGAAGTCACTGCTAATATAGTGGAGTTATCAATCTATTTATATCTTATATTTTGTTCCTAATTCTTGCTCTCTATCTATTTTAACCCAGAATTCCTGGTATCAGTAGATGTGATTTGTTACTTCCTATTGATCTCAGGAAGCATTATTTTTTAAAGTTTTGTAATTTTTTATACTTCCTTCTCTTCTGGTGATATTTTGGCCTTAAAATTAATATAGCCATGTGGCTTGAAAGTAGTACTCTTATTAGTTTAGGGATTATTAGTATGGAAAGTTTATTCAGCTATTTTAAATTAGCTTCGGTTGCTACTTCTTCTTCCAAAAAATTTGTTTTATTCAAATGGTTACTATTATGTGGGGATTTAAAGCAAGTTCTCTAGAGTTGTAAGGCTATTTGAGTATCCTCTGTGCTATTATATGTGGATCATTAATTTTTAAGTTTATCAAGAAATTATTGATTATTTAATTGAATTTAGTCTAATAAACAAGCATCATTCAATTGACAATATTAACTATTTAAATTTTAAACAGTTTGTATTTTTGAAAATTCATTGATTTTAAACTCTTGGGGTTTTGGGGTTTTGGGGTTTTGGGG